CTCTACACTTTTCAGGACTCCTCAGAGCTCAATCTGCCTACAACTCCCTGGCCCCTTGGACTTTCCAATCAGAGCCTCGAGGCACCAGCAAAACCAGCAAGCATATGCAGCTTTCCAAACACACACTTAACTTCCACCCCACCCTCTAGCAAGTCATTCTCCAGAATGCCAGCCCCACCCTCTGCCTCTGCCAATTCAACCCCCTCAAAGGGCTCTTATTCCTCTAGCTCACATTCACTTCTTCCTTCTCAGACAATGCCTTTCCTCAGCAGCCACTTAATTACAGACTGTCACACAGTCTCTCATAATTGTAGGCCTTGTCTCTCTCATCAGACCCTAAGTTCCCAGGAGCAGAGGTCTAGTCTGTCTGTCCTTCCCCTTTCACTCTCAGCAAGCAGCCCAGGCTGAGAGGGTAGGCCCCTGATGAGGGAGGGTTTCCCAACAAAGAGTCAGCTCCCAGCTAACCCCAGTCCAGCCATTTAGAGGCACTTCATCCATCCTCAGACTAGGCTAGCCACTGCAGGGCTGAAAGAGACCAGGGGGAGACTAGGAGAATGATCTAACCTGGCTCCGAGATCCTAGTCCTCACTCCCCAAGCTTCTGTCTTACTAATAAGAAACAACCAACTTTCAGCTCTAAAATTCAGTTTTATTGTCTGTAAAGCAGCCTTGGCTTCCAGAAATGGGTGGGGGTGGGAGGGAAGCAGCAGACTGCAGACCAGGCTGAGTCAGGAAAGGCAGCCAGCCCCAGTCAGCACTGGGAAACCTGGGAACCTGAGCAGTCTTCACACTGAACACCTCCCATCGACCTCATTAAATTGCTGCTGATAACTGGATTTCATTGTTGCTCAGGTGTTCCATTCCACAGCCATTAGCCTAGCCTGCCCTGATAGTGCTTGCTGCCAGGAAGGCTCAGTTGGAAAAGGTGGCATGCTGCCACAAATAACCAGGCCTGACCAAAACAAGGCTGATAGTAGTAACCATCACTTCTCATGGGATCACCCAACGAGGCAGGTATTTCCATCCTACGCTGGCAGAAAGAAAACTAAGGCACAGAATACTGATAGGTCCAGGGCCAGACAAGAGGCACAAGTAGCCCAATCACTAAGTACTGGTTACCCCCACGTCAGCTTTTCCCAGGCATGCAGCCAACAGGCTCTCAGCTTCAGACTCCTTCACAGGATTCACTCCTGCCCTAGACCTGACAAATGAGGATCTCTTAGGACAGAGCTCAGGAACCTAAAATCTATAAGATGAAGAATCAGAACTTCATATGTGAGGAGGCTGAAGCACAGATGCAGTGACTGCTAAAGTCACAATGCAGGCATGTGGATGATCCTAGAACTGAGATTATAGCTAGGCCCAGATGGGACTTCGTGGACCAGTGGCATCTGACAGTGCAGGCAGCCTTGGGGAACAGCAGTCCATACCACAGAGGGGTCATTGAGGCATAGTAAGGCTTAGTTGAGTAGGGACTTCTTGACGAGGAGCCCTGGAGAGGGAAGACCTACACTCAAGGCCACCCCAGCAACCTTCCCCAAGAGACAGGGACATTCTCTCCCAAGTCCACTGAGCTTCCGGGAGGAAAAGGCATGTAGCATCTACCAGGCAGTGGCCCTGGGAAAGTGTCTGGTTGCTGCTCAGGATGAAAAGCCAGGAGTGGTGATGACTCAAGTCCCCACCCCACCTCAAGCCTTTAAATGTGAGATGAGCTCAGAGACTCGGAAATAAATGTCAAACAAACCTTAGCAGAACAGGTGTCACAACGGGTAGCCTGAGTGGCAGCTACCAGGCAGAGCAACAAACTTTGAAGTAATGCTGTGGGCAGACAAAGTCAGGAGACTCAAGACTGCCCAGACATTGCCATGTTGCAAGACCCAGAGTGGGTCCCTGTCCCTGTGGCCCCGTACTCTTCATTCACTGTGACACAGGGAGGACTTCACTGACTTGTGAGGAGCAGAAAAGAACTGGCGGATTACACGAGGCCTCACACAGCCCTGGAGATGAGCAATCACTCCTATTACTACTGTTTACTATGGACATTTTAAGGTACTTTCCATGTTACCTGAACCCCAACCACAAGGGTGAGGGAAGACGCTGGGGATGTCTTGTTCCCTTAAAGAAAAATCTGACCCAGATATTATGAGGAAAAGGCTCACATTCATTGGGTGCCTACTGAGTACAAGTTTTTACTTATATATGTAGAATTTCGTTTAATTCTCACCACAATTCGATGATATGAATGATTTTTCAGAGTCAGATAAGGAAACCAAAGGTCAAAGAAAGTAACTTGCCCAAAACAGCATAGGCACTGAATGAGACTGATTAGAACCAGGTACAGATGGCTTTAAAACCTACATTATTTCTACTCTGCAACACCTGTGTACTAGCTACTTGTGTCTGGTATGCTGACTAAGCTCTTCCTGGAAGCCTTTCCAACCCACACAGGACCTCTCCCAGAAAAGCCCACAGCTGTCATTAGCACACAGCTGGCAGTACTCAGCATTCTCCTTGCTTACTCTGCATTAGGCATACTTTTATATGGTAAGGCACAGGGATGCACAGGTGGCCTGAGACTCTCAAATGTCACCTGCAAAGACCCAAGAGATGGATCCAGCCAACTCCCCATTCTTCAGAGGAAGACTCAGCCTTAGGACAAGACTTGTTATTCCAATTTAATTAGGAAGCTGACACTCAAGGGAGTCACCACCTGAGATGTGGGGACTGGAATCTTGACTTCTTCACTTTTACTTCCCAAATGCAGACAACCCATGGACTGTGCCTAGTACAAGGCACACAGAAAAAGATCCATGGGAGTTAGAAATTTTATCATACACCAGGGGCAGGTGACACCAGCAAGGCAGTGACTTCAGAGGCAGGGCCATGGGACAGGACACAGGGGTTCCAGCCTCCATTTGTTCTCCTGGCTCTTCTTGACTTCATCTTATCTAAGACACAGGGACTACAAAATCTAGTCTCGCTCCCTGTTCCAAGGTTCTAGAACATTCTAGGGCCCTTGACAGCAGACCCCAGCTCTCAGTGGGCCTTTCTCCACCACACTGGCTGATTTTGCTTCCAGGTGTCACTATCTAAGCAGGGCTCAACTTTAAACAACAGATGGCACACAGAAAGTCCAAGTGTTCCCCAGCAAAGGCCTGCTCTGGACACACCCACTTATCTTTACAGAAGAGCAAAACAGCACTGGGGACTCTGTGAAGGTGGGCACACTTCTTAACCAGGTGGGAGTGAACTTGAGTCTAGAGCCTCTCCCTGGGGCTGTTTAAAGCAGGCTGACAGTTACACAGCATGTACAGATGCATCATTTGATCTTCATGACTACTCTTGGACCCCCCCCCCCCCATTATCCCTATCACAGTTGCGACAACTGAGACTTAGAGAGTCCAAGGGTCTCATCCAAAGTCAAACCCCCTTGAAGCTGGCAGAATTAGGAGTCTAAGACATCCAAATACAATAATCAAGGGTGGTCACAGTAAGGTCAATTCCTCTCCAATTCATCCTGGTCCTAGCAAGACCAAGTTTCACAGACGTTTGTTCACTTGCCCATCAGGGTAGCCTAAGAAGTTCTGACCACAACCCTTCAGCCCAGCTGCCTAGGAGGCCACACCCCCCTCCCTGCAAAATTTCATTACTCAAGTTGGCAAGAACGCAGCCCCCACCCCCAACTGGGTCTAAATAAACGCCCAAGTGATATCACATCCTGCGGTAGGCTCCAAAATAGCCCAGGCCTGCCCACAAGCAATCACAAAGTGCCAGGCCATGCAGGGCCAAGCCAGCAGGGACACCCAGCCCAGGGCGCCCTCCACACACACTCAAGCAACTAAAGCAGAAGCCTCGGAGCAGAAGGCCCCTCTTCCCCTCTCGCCAAACAGCCTGGCCCACCATCCTTGTCCCCCTGGCCTAGAGGCCCCACAGCCTCAGAGCCCCAGCGCCAGCCCCTGCCCCAGCGCCAACCCCATGGAGCCTCGGCCGCGGCCAGCCTGCGGGATGACTCCGCCCGGCCCGACCCGGACACCCCACCACTCACATTGCTTCAAGAGCTCCAGACACAAAGCCATGAGGGCCGGTTGGGGGTCAGAGACCCAGAGACCCGGCAGAGACAGTAAAGGGAGAGGGAGAGACACGGAGCGGAGAGAAGGGGTGACGGGGTCAGGCAGAGAAGCAAAGGGGCAAGATCCCTCGGCAAAGGAGCAGGCTCAAAGGGAGGGAGTCAGCGCCAGAAACTGAGCAGTGAGACCACTGACAGATGCACAGGAGAGAGGCGGGGAGAGCAAGGCGGGGGAGGGGGGCCGGGTCCGGAAAAGTGGGGCGCTCGGAGAACAAGGAGAAGCAGTGACAGCCACAGCGGACAAATTTGGAAAGGCAGAGCGACTCTGAAGTTAGGGAGCTGGGGAGATTTTGAGGGTTCAAGGAAACCACTAAGGGATGTACAAGACAGATTTTGGAGGCCCCGGAAAAGAGGGAAACCTCTGGGGAAATATGGAGAAAGTGGAGGCAACCCCCAGGAATCAGGGGCACAGGGATCGAGGAGGACCCCCAGAGGATGTGTGGCGAGCTCCGGGGAGGCCTGGGCGAGTGGAGCGTGTTCTGAAGGAGAGACCCCAAAGGTTCTAGAAGTGTCCCGAAGAATTGGGGTGCCAGAACCCGTGGCTGTGAGAGAGGAGAGGAGCGCTGGGAAAGGGGACTCGAGATCCCGGAGCGAGGGAGGGGCCGAGCGCGAGGGCAGAGACAAAGAGACAGCAAGCTAGGGAGAGACAAAGCGGGCGCAGCGGGGACGCAGGCCGGAGGGCCGGTGGCCCGACAGAAGGACGGAAGCGCGGGCGGGGGACGGACGGACGGACGGACAGACGGGAAGACAGGGCAGGGCAGGGCCGGGCGGGGGCGGCGCCCGTCTCCTCGCGGGGCCGCGGCTGCTCCGGGCGGCGCTGGGCGGGCCCCGGGCGTCCGGGCTGAGGAGGCGGTGGCGGCGGCGACGTGGGTCGGACAGACGGACGGAGTGACGGACGGACTGGCTGCAGCTGCGGCCAGTGGCGGGCACTCACCCTCCTCCCTCACGCGGCCCGGCCCGAGGCTCCGGTTTTGTACGCCCGAGAGGCGGGGCCTCCGGGTTAAAGCCCCGCGCCGGCCCCGCCCCTCGCGTCAGCCGCGCGCGTCGCCCGGGATTCCCGGGCCACCAGGGGGAGCGCGCAGCCCGGGCCGCCGCGCAGGCGCGCACGCGTACCGCGCGGCCCACGCCCTGGCCGGCCGGCCCTGAAAGGGAGTGCGCGCCCACGCCGGCTCGCGCATGCCCGAGCCGGGGGCTCCGCCCTCTCGAGCGGTCCCACCAAACCGGTTCCAACTGGAAAGCAACCCCAAGCTAAGTGTCCGTGTGTCCGTGCGGGCTCATCCTGATGCCGACGCCTGGTTGTGGGTAGGGAAACCGAGGCTGAGGAGGGAGTCGCCCTGCACACAGGTCCTCTCTACTCATCATCCTGGCAGTTTGTAGTTGTTCCTCGTCCCATCCCTGGATGTGCTCCCAAGGATCCTAAAGATGGGTTCAGTATCACACCTGTGTGACCTCAGACAAGACACTCGATCTTTTCGTGCCTCTGTCATTCTCTGTAAAATGTGACAAAAGCACACCGCTCCTGCCCGATCCCACTCCTGCTTCCTCCCTCCCGCAGACCTGGCACTGCTTGCAACGGGTCTGCCAGGCACAGATCCTTGCTGGGTGACTGAGGCAAGCCGACTGCCTGCTTTCTGCAGCTGGATCTTTTTTTTTTTTTTTTTTTTTTGGTTTTTCGAGACAGGGTTTCTCTATTTTTTGGAGTCTTCTGCAGCTGGATCTTAAAGAAGGTATGAAGAAGGTAACACTGTTTCCAGCAGAAGTCTTTTGCATTAAGACATTATGACGAGAACAACAAGCTAATTTGATGCCAGGCACTGTGCTAAGCACATTAAAAGCAGGAGCTGGCTACACCATGCTATTCAGTTTCATTTGCTTTACTTAGGAAAAGGCAAAGTAAATTCTCGATGGGCGATGACACCCCAGTTCAGCCCACCATGCGATCTCTATCTCACCACCACCCTTCCAACGCAGTAACATACTTCTTGTATAAACTTGGGCAAGTCCCCTTTTGTCTTTGGGAGGCATGTCCCCTGGAAAGAAATGAGGCAGAAACAGAACTTTCACAATGAAGTCTTTGACCCCCTGAATCCTGCTCACTATTGAAAAGAACGCACGGCAGCTTCAATATGGACTTCACCAAGTCTGAGATCTTGGTGCTGGAGGGATTTCAGCACACTTGTAATGGTGATCTTTTGGGGTCCTGTGAGGTATGTATGGGGAACCTTCTGTGCTGATTGGGTCCTTGCCCAGGAGTTCCAAATCAGTCTAGCCTCCATGCAAAGTGGAGTTGGCTGGACCCATGGCTGGCAGGCAGGCAGGCCTCAGATCCTCCTGTGGGAGCCTGGGCTACTCCTGGTAAATGGTCCTTTCCAGATATTTGCTGTCCTGCCCCAGGTGTTCAGAACTGGCAGCCAGAGAAGTGAGGGCTCTCCCTATAACCCCCCTTTTTTCTTGACACAGTATCTCTCTTTGTAGCCTTAGCTGTCCTGTTCCAAGTTGGCCTTGAACTCACAGAGCTCCTCCCTGCCTCTGCCTCCCAAGTGCTGGGATGTGCCAGTGCACCTGGCTTCAGTATTGAAACTATATCAGTACTTAAATTCACAGCATGAACCTAACTGAGCCCTTTTCCCCCTTTGGGGGGCATAATGCAATAATGCTGGAGCAGAGATAGAGAGCTTATTCAGGGCAGCTGGGAGGGTGGCTGTGGTAACCAGCCTGATCCTGAATGGATTCTAAAAGCCCAGTCAAGATTCTTGGATGGTGCATGCATCTTTAATCCCAGCCCTAGGGAAACAGAGGCAGGCAAATCTCTGGGTTTGAGGTCTTTTGGGAGCACAGCAAGGACAGGGAGAGGAGCAACTAGAAACTTCGAGGCCACTGAGTGGCTAGGACCTGTGTGCTGGGCTAAAAGCCCGCTATGGGTTCCTCCTACTCCTTGTATTTGAAAGGCAGCTGGGCAAGCCAGAGAGAATTATGGAGCAAACAGTCTTCCTCCATGGTCTCTGCTTCGGTCCCTGCCTGGCTTCCCTCAGTGATAGACCGTGACAAGGAAGGGTAAGATGAAACAACCCTATTCTTCCCTAAATTAGTTGTGGCATGGTGTTGATCACAGTGATAGAAGTAAACTAATGCATTGCTCTGCCCCTTGAGGGTGACAGGATGCCCCTGTCTTGTTTTGCCCAAAAGCTTCAATTCTGGGTTGGAGGCCTGCTCATCAGTCCTCAGGTCTGAACCAGTATTTCTCTGGATTGCTTAAGGTGATTTGTACACTCAGCACACAGAAGGCACTCAGTTACCTAGGAATATCTGGGACAAGGGCATGGTAGAACCCGAGGAGGAAGTCTGCCTTCTACCCAGTCAGGATCGGTGCCTATTTCAGCAGTAGGGAATCTTGATATTCTTCTCGGAAATGCCCCTGAGTCTTATCACCTCCGACCCTATGGCCCTGACAGGGCCACAGTGCGGCAGCCTCTAATCTGGCTCCTGCTGCCCAATGATTTCTCCTGTTCTTTGTCAAGTCCTGGGGTTGCTTCCTTCCTAACCCACAGGACAAGGAAGAACTCTAGGCTTTGAGAAACATCTCCTTGACCTATTTGCTGAGTGACCTTGACTATGATACTTTCTCTAGGCTGCAGTGACTTTGAACCCCCATTCAAAGGTGTGGGGGGGTAATTATTAAGTCAGGAATGGCAGGTATGTATAACTCTGGCCATAATAGACACCATTAATTCATGGTGGCACACTTAATCTACTTAACTCAGAATAAATCTCAATATTTAGCTCCAGGGATCAGAAATGACACACAAACTACAAGTTTGCTCCGACACTCTGGGGACTAGATAGGCTGAGCTGACAGGGATCTGCAGTGGAATAACCAGTTTTTTGTTTGTTTGTTTTCTTTGAGACAGGGTTTCTCTAGATAACAGCCCTAGCTGTCCTGGAACTCGCTCTGTAACTCACAGAGATCCGACTGCCTGTGCCTCCTGAGTGCTGGGATTAAAGGCGTGCGCCACTACTGCCTGGCTGCCACTGCCTGGCTTTAAGACCAGGGAATTTAGTTCGCCTTCCTTCTATATATATGTGCAGGAGAAGGAAAAGGAATCAAAGAGTCAGAAGAGTTCTGAGGGATGGGAGAAGGGACAAAAAGAGAGGGAAAGAAGCCTGCGGTTTGGATGGTCACAGATAAGACCACTCCTCACACCCAAGGTCTAGATAACCATTAGGAGGCCCAGGGAGAGACAGGTGCTTTTTCAGAGTCACATAGCAGCTCTGAAACAAGAACTCTAGGCCTCTGGGCAGAGAGCAGGGATATTTTCTGGACTGGAACTTATCCAGCTCAGTCTAGAACTTCCAGGATGGTCAGAGAATGACCCTTAAGTCTAGGTCTCCTCCGTGTGTGTGTGTGTGTGTGTGTGTGTGTGTGTGTGTGTGTGTGTGTGTGTGTGTGTGTGTGTGGTCTGTCTGTCTGTCTGTCTCTCTCTGTCTCTCTGTGTTCACATGTGAAGATGGAGAGAATGAGGACCAGGGGGCCACACAGTAGTTCCCCCACCCCCACACCACTTGTGTGGTGTCTCAGCTTCTGAATCCGTGTGATGTGATTCAGAGGGAGTGAGTGGGAAGACACAGAAGGGGGGGGCCCAAAACTGAGAGCTGAGAGGAAGGAAAGGAAGAGAAACAGAGGGTTGAGGGAGAAACAGAAGGCATCGATTGGGGTGGGGAAGCTGAAGGAAGAGATGGGAGGCAGGCTTGTCACTGTTCTTGCTTCCTCTCAGAGGCATAAAGAGAGGCGAGGCAGGATCAGAGGCAGACCAAAGGGTCACATCGTGGCCCTCACGCCCCCTCCCAGGTGTCCTCTGGCTGGGGAGAAGCATGTACAAGTGGCAGCCAGCCGAGCCACTGCTGACCCGCCTGCCAGTCACCTGCCAGAGCTATTTCTGGAATGTGGAAACTGGGTCAGAAAGGGGGAGGGAGGATGGCACTGCCAGCAAGAGAGCTGGGAAGCCGCCGCCAGGGAGCAGTGGGTGGGCAGCTACACACTCTGCCTCCGCCACTCTAGAGCAGCTGGCTCTCCAAGGCGCCCACTGCCTCAGTATCCACCCCGCACCCCCGTATCTTCCCACCTGCCTGCATCTGGCCTGTGAGCACATGTTCAGGGTGAAGAGACAAAGAGCTGTATGCCTCTGAGCTACACAAGCGCAGAAGAAATTGGGGAGAGGGGCAGGGTGGGAAGGAGGGGAACCTGAGTAAGAGACAGTGGCTGTGTGTTGGTGCCTGTCTGTGTAGAGGGGGGGCGATTATAGGCAGAGCTGTCATGCATCGTTGTGCAAGTTTTGTACTGATAAAGGATGCCCAGTTCTAGATGGGCAGTGGTGGTGCGTGACTTTAATCCCAGCACTCAGGAGGCAGAGGCAGGTGGATCTCTGTGAGTTCCAGGCCAGCTTAGTCTACAGAGTGAGTTCTAGGACAGCCAAAGCTACACAGAGAAATCCTGTCCCAAGAAACAAACAAACAAATGGATGCCCTGTTTGTGCATTCAGGGTGCTAATCACAACACAGATGTAATCAAATTATATAATTATTTTGATACAATTTTTGGCAGATGGAAGTGAAAGTCCTTACTCTAATTCTAATAGAAATTGCATCATGGTGACTTTTCAGTAGATGGTGGCGAAGGGTTGTGAGGAGCAGTGGCCTTTCTTGACTCAGCACAAAACTACCACATGGACCAGCTGCAGCTCTGGCCAGAGGCCTGAAAATCTGGTGGCTTTGGTTTTCCTGGGTGGCAGGTGAGTTTACCTGTTGCACAAGAGCAGAGCAGAGGGCTAATGGTAACAGGTGTGTGGTGGTCACTGTGGACCCCACAGTGAAGGTAGAAGGGGAAATCTGGGGTGTCAGTCTCCTAAAGCAAGCTTTCCTCACAGGTGTGTGGCGTGAGCTTTGGTGAAGACACACAGGCATATACTTTGTGTGCAGGGGTATGTTGAATTAGGTGTATACATGTAAATGTGTGAGTACCAGTATATGTATGTCTTCACATCTTTTTTTTTGTGTGTGTAGACCCATTTATTCATGTGTGTGCACATGCACATGTGGGTGGGTGTGTATATGTTGGGTGTCATTTTCAGTCTCTTATTTTTGAGAAATTTGGCTGGGCTGGCTGACTGGTTAGGGACCCACTGTCTTTGTCTCCTCAGTGCTAGGGTTAAAAGCTGTTGTGGTTTGAAAGAGAATGGTCCTCATAGGCTCTTACATCTTACATAGTTTCTAACTGGTAGATGTTAGAGAAGGATTACAAGTATTAGAAGATGTGGCCTTGTTGGAATAGATGTGGCCTTGTTGGAGGAAGTGTATCACTGGGGTTTCAAATATAAATGCCAGACCCAGTATTAGTCTGTCTGTCTGTCTGTCTCTGCTGTGTAAGGATCAGGATATAAAGCTCTCAGCCACTTCTGCAGCACCATGCTAACCTGAATGCCACCATGCTCCCACCATGATGGTAATGGACTAAGCCTCTGAAACTGGAAGCCAGACCCAATTAAATGTATTCATTTATAAGAGTCACTTTGAGCTGGGTGGTGGTGGCGCACACCTTTAATCCCAGCACTTGGGAGGGAGAAAGAGGCAGGTGGATCTCTGAGTTAGAGGCCAGTCTGACCTATAAAGTGAATTCAAGAACAGTTCCAGGGCTATACAAAGAAACCCTGTCAAGAACCCCTCCCCCGAAAAAAAGAGTTGCCTTGGTCATGGCGTCTTATCATAGCAATAGAACACTAAGACAGGCATATCACCACATCTGGCTTCCCCTCCCCATGGTACTGGTGATCAACTTAGGTCCTCATGCTTACACAGTTAGCACTTCACCAACTGAGCCATCCTTCCAGACCCATTTTCACACTAGATGGATGGATGGATAGGTGGGTTGTTGGATGGGTGGATGGGTGGATGGGTGGATGGGTGGATGGGTGGGTGGAGTATTCAGGTCCTTTGCTATATTTCACAAAAGCTCTGTGGCATCAGCTTTGAATTAGTGACTTGCTTTGATCAACTGGTCATTTGCAGATGTGAAACCAAGAGACTTGAAATGTGTCACAAAATGAGGCTGTCTTCCTATCCTTCTGCCACCTCCATGGAAGAACATGGCCGGGTTGGGACACTGACTCCTTAACAGCCTTTGGACCCTGGGTATAGACACATGAAGCCAAGGCAGCTGACCTGCAAACTCATGAATAAGTACTTATTGTTTTTCCCCACTGTTTATACTGAGCAGTACTGAGATGGTACACAAAGCAGAGTGTGACTGCAAGAATAACCAAGATATATCATTCTGGATACAGGACCAAGCAGTGAGGAGATGATGAGCAAACTCTTAGAGGAGGCTTGAAAAAAATGTCTGGGTTCTACGTGGGCCAGAGCTCTCTGTGAAATTCACCTATAGGCACTTAAGTGAGCAGATATAGATTCTTGGGCAAGAGCTGGCTCCTTTGGATATGAACTTGAAAGAGAGAAGAACTCACAAAAGAAATAGCCAATCTATCAGGATGCTTTGGGGAAATAGGAAGGGCCTAGAACTTACTGAGTCGGAAAATAAATCTGTCAACTTCAGCCTCCAGCCAGTAGATCATTCTCAAATTAAGATATAGCCTGGGATAAAGATCAAACCAGAGTCACTGCCCTTTAAAATACCACGCAGGCCTGGTGCAGTGGTTCAAGCCTTAAATCTCAGCACTCAAGAGGCAGAGGCAGGCTGGTCTTTATATAGAGAGTTCCAGGCTAGACAGGGCTACATAGTGAGACCCTATCTCAAAAAGAAAAAAAAAGAAGGTGGGGGGGAACCAATTGGTAAGCTGGCTGTAATTCCAGTTTCCAGTTCAAGGGAATCTGACATAATCATATACTCTTCTGGCCACTATGGTCACCTGCATACATGTAGTACCTATATAGAAAAGTAGGCATGCATGCATGCACACACATACACACAATAAAAACGTCTCAGGTGGTCAAAGGAACTGTCAGAAAGCTCAGTGGTGTGGTCCCACAGAAGCCCAGCATGCTCAAAATAGGAACAATTAAGTAAAGAGAGGCTTAACGTAAAAGTGGCTGTGGGTATGACTTTGCCACAAAGAGTTACATGAAATTAAACTGAATAAATTAAATTAAACTGTTTGAGCTAGGCCAATGAGCTTCGGCTAACGTAGATGTACCCTCCTACTGTTCCTAAGGAGGAAACAGGCTGAAGGCCAGAGTTCATATTCTCAGTGTAGGAAGTCTTCAGGAATCTTCACCTGTCTGTGAAGGTGCTCATGGTTTGTCCAGAAGGGTTTCAGAGTCAGTGAGTCAGTAAGTCTCTGAATCCCCATCTCCTTTCTAAACAGAGTATGAGTGGCAGTTATCCTGTCCTTATTTTCTAAGTCAGGTTTTCATTGGGGGAAGAGGGGTTTGGGCTACAGGGAGGATGATAAGGGTGTTTAGATCACAGGTGATGGGTCAAGGGGAGCTACAACCAGATCTGGCACAAATCACGGATCTTGACGTTGTGGCTGTATGAAATATTGGGAGATCTTGGGTAGGATAAGTATCTTCTATGTGAGAGAGGCATGGATTCATGTGTGGAATAGAGCAGACTGAATTATTGCCACTGATTCTTTTCCCCTTTCTATAGTCACACCCTTTGCCATAGGGATACAGTCTTCTCTATAGTAGTGAGGTGGTCCTCACCCTTGACTGAGAGCTCAGTTATGCAACTTGCTTTAGCCAATGGATGTTTGCTTAGATTGGGCCTTGACTGTGCTTGTACTGTTAGGCTTGCTCTTGCCTTCTGCCCTCTTCATGAGATGAACACATCCTGGCTAGACCACTCATCTCAGGAGAATAAGAGACTGACAGACTTGGGTATGTTTGTTGTACAGTGTTATTGAAGCAAGAGCTAAGCCACTGAGGGACCCAATGGTCTGGGATATGCAGCTATCATGCATTTTTGGTCCATTTACTCATTAGCAGTGGGGGTTGGAGGAAATAGGTGAGTGAGGTTTATTTGCAGTGAATTCCTGTGGATGTTGTGTATCCTCCTGAGCCATCTCATTCTTTAAGAACTTCTCAGGGGTGTGAAAATGTAAAGAATGTGATCCTTACCTGAGACTCCCATGGGACCGCAGCAGAGTTCTGGGACAGCCTGGCAGATCTCCCTGGATTCCAAATCCAAGAATATGGCTATGGATTCCATAGCCACAGCCCCCGCCCCAGCTTAGGCACTTCTAAGTGGAAAAGCTTGTTGGCCTACATGGAAGGAAGGTCTACAAGGAAGGCACTAGTGGAGCAGTACATATCCCATGTTCCAAGAGGCAACTGTTGTAGGAGTGAACCCCACAAAGCTATCCGCCCATGAGGGCCGGGACATGTAAACTAACACAGGTAGATATAAAAGAAAGTGAAAGAAAAAGAAGCCTCCCTTTTTCTCTTGGAAGCCAGCAATGCTTCTAACTCCCAGCTTGTGCGACTCTCTCTCTGGTAAATAAATATATTATTTTCCTTATAGCACTGAATATCCTCTTTAAACTGTGCTGCTTTTCAAACAGGTTAATTGGTCGTAGGGTAGGGGGTGGGGCTGCAGTTGTCTTTAGAGGGCTCTGTCCTAGGACAGCAAAGAGCTAAGCAGGCATGAAGAACCACCAGATGGAAAAGTTAAGGGGAGCTGGAAGCATCATTGCTCATGCCAAGAAAGAAGGTGCCAGGATGCCCCTTCCAGACAGGACAAAAAATTAGACCGTGGCTTCAGTTGTTCAGAATCCCAGAATCAGTAGAACCAGAAACATCAACAGTGAACAAGATCCAGAGAAGACTCCAACCATGACACCTAACTCCCCACCAGGGTTTTCCAGCTGTGGCAGGGGCCAGGAGCAGCTGCATGAGATCTGGGGCAGACTAGTCTGAGGTTCTGAGAGGAGTCTAGGCGAGACTCTTCCTCCAGTTGTAAGTGGCCAGAGTTAGGGATCTGCCCCACTAGGGGTGGGATGGGGCATCTGCAGAGGGCACTGCTGCTTCTGCTCTGCTCCCTGAAGAGACCAGTTCATTTAGTCAATACGTTGGCTACCTGTATGCATCTGTGGGCCTTGGGTTCACTTAGTGACACCAAACGCCAGCTGAGCACTTGAAGCACCCACCTTTTCAATCCATCCCCACTGCCCTTGACTGTCATATAAGGTCAGAGTTGAGGAGAAAAGCAGCTATGACAATATTACCTGTCACATCCCAGCAGACGGTATTTAGTTAGGGTCTGTGTGTGGTGAGAGTATGGCGGGTGAGCTTCCTACAGTCTTCAGCACCCCAGGGCTCTCTAGGGTCTGCCTTAGAGATGGGGAAGGATGGGAAGGGTAAACTCAAGGTCGTCTCAACTAACCCAAGTCAGTCTCTTGGTCTGACTTCCTATTTTTCTCATCCAAACAACCTGAGGAAGGCCAGGCCATCTACACAGCTAATCCCAAGTAGTAGTTTCCATTTAGTAAGCTCCGCCTACCAGTGGGAGGCTGCTGTATGCAGGAAGCAGCCAGGGATCCCAGGGTTCCAGACCTCTCTACCATCTGCCCATTGGCCCATTGGGCAGTCTGCTTCTGCCGCCTGTTTAGGTTCCAGTTTGCCAGTGGGAAGTTCAGCTTCAAGGCTACTTTTTTTTTTTTTTTTGGTGTGGTGACCTATGGGTTCCTCCCCAGCATCTCTCCAGGCTGCCCAACTGAACATTCCCCATGTTCTCCTTGTAAACAATACAAAATGGAACAAAACACCAATCCTCCTGCATTACAGTACTCACTTGGAAGCGTGCGACTGTTGCTGAGGCTGCCGGTACTGGGTGGTGGGGAGAGGGACTGCAGGGAGACACTGTCCTCCTCCTGCGAGCAGCCTGCCTGGATGGCTCGCAGGTAGCTGTGGCTGCGTGAGCGGAAGTAGCTGGGCAGTGGCAAATCTAATGCCTCCGCTGCTGTGGACTCAGCTTCACTGCAGGCCGACTCACAGGCTGCCTCATACTGGTCACTCAGATCTGCCTCCCGGACCTGTCCAGACATACACAGGCATGAGAGGCCAGCTTTGCCAGTCTTTGCTGGGATACTCAGCGTCAGGGCTGGAGTTTTTCCTGCCTGACCCTTAGCCCGTCTTTCCTCCCTCCACCTCACTCAGGGCACAGATAGGCTCTTTTTTATTTTTTTAAATTTTGTTTTATTTACTATGTATACAGTGTTCTGCCTACATGTATGCTTGCAGGCCAGAAGAAGGCACCAGATCTCATTACAGACGGTTGTGAGCCACCATGTGGTTGCTGAGAATTGAACTCAGGACCTCTGGAAGAGCAGCCAGTGCTCGCTCTTAGTCTCTGAGCCATCTCTCCAGCCCCCACAGATAGGCAATTAAGTTAGCCTGTGTGGGCCTCAGTTTTTCCATCTGCAATAAGAATAATGCTGGAATACAACAGGATGTTACCAAAATTAAATCTTGTTGTCTAATCTAAAAGAGTTTAAGATCACATCTGAATTCAGCATGAAAGAAGGCTGTGATTCATTAGTATTGCCTGCCCTGAATGTTGGAATGGGGTGGTCTTATTAGATGTGGTGGATATTTACCACTGTAGTATACCACTACTAACTTCTATAAGCAAAACCAAAACCAAACCCAAAACCAAACAAACTCAAGGGCCAGTGAAAGGAAGGTATTTGTCAAGGGTACCAAGTGAAGAAGGAGCAGAGCCAGCACTCCAACTATGGATGTAAGGAATAGTAACCTAGTGGAAGGTGTGGCATTGGGAGAGGGTCTGGGGGGGGGGGAAGGCTGAGGCTAGAGATGAGCTGATGCAGTAGCTTGTGGAAGAAGATGATTGAAATGAGGGTGGTGGCCGTAAGGATAACTGATGTCTACCAGGGCAATGTGGAGAATGGTTGTGGGTATGTTTGCCATCTCAAATTTACCCCAGCCTCATCTACACAGTTGCTAAGCATCCCTCCTGAGGTGACTACCCAGAATCCTGCAAGTTGGAAGCTAGAGGTGCAACACAGAGGGACCTCACCACACGTAACACTGAAGATTCTGGTAGGGCTTACTGACTCCAATTTCAGGCTATGTTGGTAGCTAGGGACCATGTAGAATTTGCTAAAGAGTCGTAGCCACAGATGGACACTAGGTAGAAGCCTGAGGGACCTGTAGCTAGATGAGGAGGCAAAGTGGATTGAATATCATGTGGAGGGAAGATGGATCTGGGCTGGAAGGGACTGAACCTGTGCTGTCCAATATGGTCGCTATGATCCACGTGTGACTATACCATTAAGGTTTAAATCAATTAGAACTGAATAAAGTTTGGTAGTCACATAAGTCACATTTCACTGGGTCAAAAGCCACACGAACAAGCATGGATTGTAGAACACTGGCCACCACTGCAGGAAGTTCTATCCGACAGTCTGCTACAGGCCATGTGGCATACCCAATATACCTACAGAGGACATTAAAGCATCGGTTGGCTTTCAAAGCTGCAAACAGGTATTTTGAGAACCTCTGTGTCTTGCTTTGGAGCTGCACCCTAACGGAGAAACTCGGAAAGCAGTCAAGACCTGGTGAGAGTTGCCCATCTCAATCTCAGTCCTTGGAGTGTGGAGGCAGGAGGAGCAGGGTTTCAAGGCTAGGTAGGCTACGCTGAAGGTTAAGGCCAGTCTGAGAATATGAGACCCTGTCTCAAATCACAACAAAACCAAGACTACACAAGCTAACTCATCATCTGGGCAGTCCGGCAAAGACTCGTTGATCACATGCACTGGTAACTCAGGTGGTTGCGTGGGATGAACAAGTATTTATACATGGTTAGTCAGATGCTCTCAAACTGTGGGAGGCTCCCTGGATGTTTCCTGTGTGCAGGCTTTGCTGTGGAGCTTTGCATGTTAATGCCAGCTGTTTCCACACACCTATGGGAGTTGCAGATGCAGGCCTTGCCTGGCCTACAGGGCACCCCTTAGAGAGTAACACACTGTCTGTAGTGTGGGGAGGGTCCAACATCTGCCCTGTGGCAGGGATCAGGAGACTGCCAGCAGTAGCTTTACCACTATGTGGTGTGTGCCCTGGGAGACAAGTCCACTCCTGATGAAGATGAAAGGCTGTGCTCTGAGGGCATTTCCTGCCCCTTGGGGCTGGGAGGACAGGGACAACCTCCAGAGGCGGGTGTCCATATGACATGTAATTCAGGCAGCCAGACGCAGTCACAGTGGTGTCACATCCACCAAATTTTTCAAACTGAGAAGTCTCCACATTCACTTCAATACCCCATATCCGTAAAGTCCTGCTGGGGCTCTGAAAAGGGGAAACCAAGGGCATCTGGGACCCTGCAGAGAATGCCTCCCAGCCCCCAACCTGTCCAAACAAAAGACTTCCTGGGACTTTTGAGAGACAGGCAGAAAAAGGGCCTTCAGGAGAGGACGCAGCACCATCTAGCTGATACCAAGCTATCTAGGAAGCATCTGAACCACCAGTGTGTCTGGCCTGCCCCAGGCTTCAGGGGTGTCAGGGGAAGCTCCATTGCCCTGCAGTAATTTGTTGTCCATCCAGAGAGCCTAACTCTTGTGTTCCCAGTTTTCAGAACAAACTAAGCCAGAGTGAAGTGATGGCACAGGGAGTGGAGAGTCAGGACACCGGGGCGTACCTCCACCCCATCCTCACTGGGGATGCCTTTCTGACGGCGGCTCTGCTCCTCCCTATCCAGGTTGGGTGTCAGGACCACTCAGCGGAAGGCATAAGACCTAACTCTGCACTCTGGTTTGAGGTGCAAGAGAGTAACAACATACTGACCTGTTGATCATGGCCGAACAACTGGGGGATAAGGGAAGCCTGTCCAAAAACCTGCAGGAGAGAGGGTGTGGGTTATAGGAGGACCAGGCCTGGTCTGGGCGTCTCAGAACTCCTCCCCACCCAAACTGGATTCTGTTTCAAAGAGGTTTTGCTTGGCTTTCTCAGGGATGGGAGGTTCATTCCTGGGCTGGCATTACTGAGGACGTGAACTGTCCGTCCTTCCTGTACCATGGATGTGCTGTCTACCACGTTTCACCTGGGCAGGCAACCCAGCCTGGACACAGATCGAGATGGACCCAGGCCCTTCCTTTCCTGGGCTACCTATGCATCTTATAGGGGTGAAGTTTAGGGGAAGGGAAAAGTCAGAGGAGCTTGGATTAGAAGAGAGCTTGGGCTGGAAAGGAACAGTGGAGAAAGTCCGTGGGAACCCCGAGCACAGCAGATTCCAGACACCTTTCTGTGTAACTAAGGGCACAGGTATTCCGAGTACCTGGGGCAGGCAGGGATGGAGAAAGAGGATGCGGAGAATGGAACTATGGAGATGGAGAGACACAGGAGACCTAGGGAAATACGGTCAACAAGAAGAGAAAAGACAGGGGTGGGGGGGGGAGA